AGGTTAGAGAAGACTGCCATCTCACATAATTTCATAGTTCTGTAATCTCACAAATCGCTGGTTATGAAGCTACGAAACTATGGTGAAATGGGATCATGAATCCAATATTTTTCCAATCACTGACTACTCAAGTCGTTTGAAATCTCGGATACCGCTTTCTAGAGGAGTGTCTTGATGTTAGGGTAAAAACACGAACCAATCCGAGATTTTCGACTTTAGATTCAGACTTAACGAATCAAAATACTGTAGCATATACTGGCTTTGTAATCGTTTGTCTCTCAACTACCTATAAGGAATGGAATGTAGAGCGAACTTGATGTAAAATGGGATGGAAATGCAACACACTTCAAATAATCTTTTGTTTTCCAGTTATACAGAATCGATGAGCCAAAAAATATAAATTTGGGTTATAATTGAAAAATTAAATGTTATAGGAAATAGCGGAATTGTGAACAAAAAACTTTAAAAATCTCTTACAAAGTAAAAGCAATTGGGAAATTTGAGAAATCGCCAAATCTGTCCAAATTAGCTCACCCTGTACTAGATGTAATTTTTGATATAACAATCACACTGGATTTCTTTCTCATATAATAAGTCTTGAAATGAGCATTTCATGTACATGTGACTAAATGTTCATTTAAATTTTAGTCTTTCTAATCCTATAATGTGGGATTCTGCAGGCAGCTAGCAGAAAGGAATCGTTTTAATACAGCCCCATTGTGGTGTTCAGCTATGGAGGTATTTTCTTTGTGAATATATGAGTTATTAAGCCACACTGCAGCACAGGATTCTGCAAACAAAAAACAGACCAAGTTTAACGATTCTCAGAGTGAATTTACAGATTTTGATGTATTTGTCATTTATTATTCTTTGTAGCTGCAATTTGATGTTTTTTTAGAATATATTGAAGAAAGTTGAGTGTAATACCCAAATACTTTACAAGAATATTGTAGCAAACGTGGTAAATGATTTTCACTACTACTTTATTTCAAGGATGTTAAGTTTATTCAAATTATTTCTAAAATTTTCAAAAAATGATATATACGCTTTGTGATATTAACATCTATAAACAAACTAGTAATTAATATACAGGGTGTTCGCAAATTTCACCGACAACGTTTGACTGCATATTGACGACGATAAATAAATACGATCTACGAAAAAAATTAAATAGAAAAATGTTAGTTTTTGAGTTACAGGCCTTCAGTTGTCAAAAATAAAACTAATTTAATTAATAACTTCAATGCCTTTTTGCCGATCGCGTTAAAATTTGGGACATTTATTTGGACTATTATGCCGTATTGTTTCGTAAAGCTTTAGTCAAATCGATATACTGGGTGATAGTTTTCTCCGGTTACCTCTCCCTTTTAGCGGTCAAAACTTTTACAGTGGTCGTATTTTTTAAAATGGGCAGCAACATTGAAAAGGTTGTTTTATTTAAAAAAATATTCGCGTGGGGTGATGAGAATCCCAAAGAAACACGACAATAATGACGTTACCTGATAGCCACAGCAATCAACATCTTGTTTTCATCGCCTACTGAACTCAAAGTTTTAAATCCGTGATATTGCTACGCAAACCGAAACGTACAGATCTGCAAATAAAGCAATTTTTCTCAAGAATGGCTTTCTGTGGGTCCTCCATTTTCTCAAGAGGAGACCTTTTAAAATAAATAAGGTTTATGAAGTTATTAATTAAATTAGTTTTGCCTACGACCACTACTGTAAATACTTAAAAACACACCGTCTGCGATCAATGTAAGATTCCTATTACGTACAGTAAAAAAATCGCACAGTTTTCCTAGCAACCGCCTAGCAACGGTCAATACAATACTGTTTGTATTGACCATTGCTAGGCGGTTGCTAGGAAAACTGTATGATTTTTTTACCAAGCTGTGCGGTTTACAGTAGTGGTCGTAGGTAAAGTATAGTATTTTTGACAACTTTGAAGGCCTGTAACACAAAAACCAAAAAGTTTTTAATTAACTTTTTTTGGTGGATCGTATTTATTTATCGTGATGAATATGCAGTCAAACGTTCTCGGTGAAATTTGCGGACACCCTGTATATATTATTATTACCATTGCAATGGTAACAAATATCAATCATCTGCAACAAATAACATACTTTACAACATTAAATGAATAACAAAAATATATCCATTACTTCTTCATCTTGCTGCTTTATTAATATGAGACACAGAAGACTTCTAGTAGATTGTTGTTTATTATAAACTTTTATTAATTCAGAAACACCTCTAAGGAATTGAGTTACAACAGCATAGACTGTGAAAAAAGCCTAGAAATAATAAAAACCTTATTTGAGATTACAAAATTGATGCCTATGATCATAAATTTGGAATAGTTAAGTAATTTTTTAATAGTTTTCGAAAAGTAAAATAATAGTGGTAAAGAAGTAAGACAAGTCAAGTAGTAAATTTAATAAAAGTTTAATTTAAAGTAATTTGCAAAAACTTAAAGCAGCTTGTTAAGTCCCTAAATTTATATACCTATTCTTGAAAATTTAGTTATTAATTGCATATATTGTATATTTTACATTTTATGTTTTAATTTAGCATTAGCAAATAGGTTCTTCCTGTTTATATCCCAAATAAATAAATCAAAAATAAAGTTGCTCGATAACATATCATTAGTCGCATTATCCTCAAGCTTTACAACATCTCTCAAAATGGTTTTCTCATTATTTTCAAGAGGTATATTAAATTGCTAGCTTTAAATCACCTACATAGCCAACATTTATCGAGGCCGTATTTAAAAGGTACGAAATAATGTATAGATTAAGTTGTATAGAAACCAGTAAGGTACTATGAACCTTGTGATAGTCCATTGTATAGATAATTGTCTTTTCCTGTTCGTAGGTCCCCCATTATAACTTGAAAAGGTCTTTCCATAACATGTTATTCAGTAGGCACTCCAATGTTCTGCAAGGGATTATGTGAAAGACTTTGGATAAATGCTGGCAACAAATCGATTTATGATGATTTTTCCAAATTCCAAGTATCTTTGATAACCGATTAAATTTAAAACTTGAATAGTACAGCTACATGGTTGTAGAAAGCAAGCCTCTTCAATCAATACAGTTTCTTTTGTCGTCTTATTCCGTATATGAATAAAGATGTCTTTCTAGAGATTATAGGAATAGTTTAGTAATGCGACTGTCCTTTGTGTTGTCTTTCCTCAACTTCAATATAGTAAATATTTTCGATCGAAAGCTCTTGAAATGTAATCAGTTTTATGTCTGAAGGATATACTTTAATCAATTATTTATCTTCTTTATAATTTAAAAATAAATTCTGTCTCCATTTTTGTTTTAATAAAATTAAAACGTGATTATACAGTCAATTTTTAAATAATTATAATTTTTACTTAGTATTAAAAATAAAAGTCGATTTTGGAAGGATATAATGGAAGATTTCAATCTGAGAAACATTAATAAAGAATATAAAATTTTGAACCAAATTGGAAAAATTAGGACATACGATTTTATTGTGAAAATTTCAAAAATAGTACCTATTCATTTTGTGCATATAGGAAGAGAGCGCCAGTTCCATTTTAAATACTGGAGGAGTAAATACGCGGTTTTGTTCAGAAAATAACCGAACTTTATATTAATTTATTAATATTATTAATTTTATACAGATTCGGAAAGTCCCCATGGTACGTCGGCCGTTACGTCAGAGCGATAAAGTAAGTCATAGATATCCGTGCGATAGACAAGGATGGTTACTTTGAAGACGTTTCATTATCTAAATAGTCACTCCCACTTCTAACCCGAAACGGTCGGTGACTATACAGATTATGAAACGTCTCCACTATAGCCATCCTTGTCTATCGCACGGATTTATTTACTTTACTTTGTTGCTCTCATGTAAAGGCAGATGGACCATGTGGATTTTCCAGCCCTGTATATTATCGATCCTTGTCTCCTTCAAAGTACTCCTCACTCCTATTCACACTTTTCTCAGTGCTGTTTCCATTTCGCGAAGCAGTCCTGGACACCTTAATTTGAAATGACCTGAAAGTCTTTGACGAATTAGTTTTGATGATATTTGATATTCTGAAAACGGCGTACTTTTAATTTTGGAAATAAGAAAAAATCACAAGGAGCCAGGTCTGATGAGCAAAGAGGGTAAAAATTTCGTGTCATGACCCGATTGATATGATAACCTCTTCTGCAATTTGTCTGACAATCGGCGATATGCACGCACCAGATCTTTGACTTTCTGAACGCAGGAGTCATCAATTGAAGTCGAAAGCTTTTTTGGTCGAGGATCATCGTCAATTGACTGACGACGATTTAATCATGAAAACTATTCGCAACATTTCTCACGACCCAAAGTATCATCTCCATAAGCTTGTTTCAAAAAATTGAAGCAACGTTTTCGTGAAGTTTTCCCCAGTTTTACGTTGCATTATTGTTCCAGAAAATGTTACATTTCAAAAATCGTCACTATCACATTAAACATGTTGCACTCAAATAACAATATCACGAAAACTAAATGAGATATCAACAATCCAAGAACATGTGATTACAGAGGAGGTTATGCGTAACGCAATGCTGCCAACCGAATATCATTAAGTATCTCCATTAGCGCGCAATTCAAAATGTTTATTTTCTGAACAGACCTCGTATTATCTAAATTTTTTTATCAACATAATCGAACAATAATGTAGCGTAATCTATAAATTGAGAAAAGCAGCTTGTTTCCATCCTAAATATGCAATATATAATCAAAACAGTGGTGGTAGAATGCCAAGTATAACAAATCTTTATATGCATGACTAACATTAACTACCAAAAGCATTTTGGCAATAAAATTAATGTGCATCATATTTCAGATTTACTGAACAAGTTACATAATATTCCGGTAATGTAACATGAGCATATTGAAATTGATTTAAAAAATCTTCCTTTGAGCAATGTCCATTCTTAATAAAAACATTCTGCATCTCTATCTATCTATCAAAAGCATTCTTTTTAGTATTTCACCAAGGAGATGAAGGTAGATCTTGGTATATAATAGTACGAGGGTCAGTTGATGTTGTAATTCATGGAAAGGGCACTGTTAATACGTTACATGAAGGCGATGACTTCGGAAAATTAGCTCTTATCAATGATGCTCCCAGGTAAAATGTTACCATAAACTGAATCAGCTTTTTCTTCATATACGCGTACACTTTTTAGGGCTGCAACAATAGTATTAAGGGAAAATAATTGTCATTTTTTAAGAGTCGATAAAGATAATTTTAATAGAATTCTCCGAGATGTGGAAGCCAACACTGTCAGACTCAAGGAACATGGAAAAGATGTCTTAATTTTGGAAAAAATTAATACGAATACAAAACAAGTATTTTCGTCTCATTTTAAGTAAGTGCCTTATTTGTTTCTATAAAAAGTATTAATTAAATATTTTTAGATATACTGTGATGGCAGGTACTCCACAGAAAATGTTGGAGCATCTTCTGGAAACTCGTCTCGATGGTCGAGGAGCAATGGGAGGCGGTGATAATTTTATTGTTACCACAGCACAGGACCCCTTTTTAGACGATTTTCTTTTGACTCATATAGTCTTTATACCCACTCATCAATTAGTTGAAGAATTAGATAGATAATATCCTTTCATAACCTTTATTACTATCGAAATATGCAATGATGATATTTACATAGTATCTGACAAAAATATGAATTAATTTATTTTAAGATATCAGCATCATATAACCAAGTTAATTAATCATGGCAACTCTGAAAAATCAATTGCATAAAAGTTTTGTATTTTAGTATGAGTGTTATAAGAAGAAAAAATTGCGCCAAATATTTTCTAGGACTTTTAATTATTACATTATAATTAGAATCATATATTTAGGGGAAAAAACGACGAACTTTATTTGCGAAACGAATAGTTCCAATATTATGTTAGGTCTAATAAGTGCTAGGTAACGTCAATAAAAGTTAAAAGAAAGTAGTAAATCGAAAATAAAAAAAAATTAAAATCAAGTAGTAAATCGAATAAAATGAAATACATTTTTGTTTTATTGTTCTTGTATTAGAAGTAGTTCTACAATTTTTTCAAAATATGCTGTGGCACCGAATTTTTAGGGTTTTTAGTGAAAGGAACTCCGGGTACATTCGCCAGTATTTATATCTGAATTCAGTGGATTCTTTCATTTGATAAATCATTATTATTATTAGCCTTACTTAAGAATCAGTTCTTTAATATTGTCAATGTTCTTAATTAACACCCTATTCATAGGGTGTAGATACATATATCAAAGGAAATTCGTCCAAATCTACGGAAAGACGGATTTTGTTGAACTACTGACAGTCTGAAATATAGTAATTATATGGAGGATATTTCCAATAATTGCGCTTGTAATAATTCCTGTGAATGACTTCCTAGTTAATTCCATGATTCGAAAAAAATCACAGTTTTAATGAAGTGCACTTAGTTAATTTTATTAATCGAATATGTTTCCAAGAGATCAAATCCTCATCGACCAGATCTTGAAATGGTAAATTGAGATGTAAAATATTTTTAATTCCAAAATTAAATTTTCAGGGTTATGACACTAACTTGTCAATTCCCGCATGAAAAACTAACGAACCTAAAAAAATTTTTGTGTTCGTCAATACTTAACTTAGTTAAACTAGGTAAAATCCATGATAAAATTTAAATAATCAATATTAAAAGCCTGAAGGCGCAATAACATCATCTATAGAGAGAGGGAAAACCGGTATAAGAAAATTTACAATAATTGGGACCCAAATTTGCCTAATACCATATGCAACTGAAAATACAATGTATAACTTCTTTTAATTGATTTATTGTAGGAAGCTGTTACAGAAATGTTAAATATAAAAGTTGACAAAGTAACATGAAATTTTTATATGGCAAAACTATTGCACACTCCATATATTCGTATTTTGCAGCATACACATTTTCCCGTTTTTGTTGATATTGACGTTTTCAATGTGCATGTTTATCATATTTTAACGAGGATATTATAGTAACAAACATTTTTTCCCCAATTTCAACCTAGAAATGCAAGGTATATAAAGTTATGGAATAGGAAATTGTTTTTTTTTTTTATTAAATCCAATAACAATTTATGTATTCCTTAACTAAATCCACTTATAGGATAGATTTTACGAACCAAGATAGGGAGTTCGTGTTGGCGTGCAAACGGCGTGTGATCCAGTTCGTCTACAGATGGGTGACGACCATCAGGCAGCCTGTGTTTGAAGATGAACTGGCAGTCGAATTCCTGGAAGATCTTGCGAATGAATTGGAATCTGATATAGTACAGTTCAACGCGCTACAAGAAGAAGCATCTCTCATGCATCACGTAATGTCGCAACTGAGGAGGTAAATTTAGTTCACTTAAATAGAGAGATAGTCAAAGATAGTTCATAAATTATTCGCCATTAGAGTAACAAATTAAAAATTCTGTCGTTTCGATTTATTTTAAAATTAGAACTTTGGCATATAGTATTTGTTATCTTAATATCGAAGATTTTATCATATAATATAATATGAAGGATATCTAAAAATAAAGAGATATTTCCATATGATTTTTCCATACTGGTTTGCATTTAATTGTGTAAAGAAATTATGAAAAGTTTTGTATATGCATCAACATAATTTATTATTTAATTAGAAAAAAAACACAGTTTTATTGTTGGACATACCTCGGGTATAAGATTGTATTCTCTTTTTCCGAATTCCCAACAGTTCTTGAAATATAGGGGTTTGAAGTTGCCAAGTCGTATGGGTAGTTGCTAAAGAGTAAATTACATTGTTGGGACTAGAGGGCTTAGAAAAATGTGCTTTAATTCTAAAAAAGCATAATGACAGTGTAATTATTAAAGCTGCTCAATATGTCCACCGCCTTGTATAATGCATAACTCAATCCTCTGTCGAAGCTCTCGTTCCCAGTTGTAGTTCTCCATATTGTTTTTCACCTCATCAAACGCTGTATGAATCTTCTCAATGAGTTAATCCCTGCAATTAGGCTTTCCCATTGAATAGGTAAGTGTCTTCACATGTCCCCACATGAAAAAGTCCAACGAGTTGAAATCCGGAGATCGCGGTGGCCAAGCGATGGGACCACCACGACCATCGATTTGGATACTTTTCATTGAGGAAATTAGTGACACCTCTTCCATAATGGGATGGAGCACTATAATGAAAAAGAACATCTTCCGATCCATTACGGAGAATCTTCTCTAAAAATGGGTTTCTCGAATAGCTTGAGAGTTTTAGATCGCCCATACATGATCGTTGTGGAAATTGTTGAATACATCTCCTGTAAATGTAACTTCGTCACAGAAAAGGGTTCTTAAGAGAGTATCCAGGTGATTGCTCCACCATTCACAAAGACGAACTCTTTTACCAGGTCATTTTCAACAAGCATTGTTTCCACACATAACTTCTCTTTCACAAGTCGTTTTAGGGAACACACCTGTTAATCAAAGAGTTGTGAAGGTTCTATTGAACGTTTGCTTGTCTGGAAGACGGTAGTTTGGATATTGTCGTTGATATTCTGTGAACTGTGGCGGTGTGGTACCACCGTTGCAATATCCACACATGAAAATCATGTCCGGGTAATCTTCATTTGAATAAATTAAAATCATGACTTTAACACATATGACGCAAAAATAAAAAAGATCCAACTGTCAATGATGATAATTAACAAACTGATAATCAATCATTTTTTTTCTCAGCCAAGTTATTTACCCATACGTTCTGGAAATTTCAAAGCCCGAGAATTCAAGAACCGTTGGGAATTCTGGAAAAATGAATAGAATCATTTTTTCTTAAAATTAGTCATAGAATTCATATACGAAGTATCTCGAATAACTCTTCGGCTACCTTGTATACGACGTTGTCAGAATATGTACGGAATGTTCCAAGCAGATATCGAATAACTTTTAAAGTAGTAATTCTTTGAAATACATCAGATATAATTTTAATACGGACACATTTTCTTATCTCCCTGTTTCACCTTCATCTTTGAATTCTTTGAAGAATTGTAACTTTTTAAGTTAACATTTGGGTACATTTGGTTTATTTCTTTATTTTCAAAGAATTTTTTAATACCTAACTTTGACGTATTAAAATTATTCGTTAACATTTTTCCATGACAAAACTATATAATAAACATACGCGGCACATTCACTGTTTTTTATGACGCTCAATATGTACAATATTTTTATAACTTTATGTTTTAGGTACACCGAGGATAGGAAGGCCCATGAGGGTCAGAAATGGAAACTTCCGCCTTTAGGGCAGCCGATAAGTCTATTTAGTACTGGGAATGATACGAACCGAACCATTATTATGCCTCAAGACGACAGTAAGTACACTCAAATCGATTTCCCCAGAGGTTTTCACACGACCATATAGCCGAATACATATAAATAAACAGAATATTACATGACATATGAGAGGAAGTTGCCAAGTAGAAAAAGTTAAGAGATTTTATTACTTTTACTTATATTATAGTATAGTAGTAATAATAAATAGCGAAGACATAAAAATTCCGGGAGTAGATGAATTGTAAAACTAACACCGACTGTTACCAAATGACAATGACAATGACAAACTCTTACACAAAAACACGTACTAATCAGGCGATTAGACTGTACATATACTGATTTATTTTATAAGATATAATCACAGTCTAATCGCCTGATTAATCAACCTAAACCGAGACTCACAGTACCAGTCCTTAGAGTAATAATTTGATATTTTCTTTCCAAAGAAAAGTTTATAAAAGTGAACAATTCGATATTTCGGAAAAAACAAAAGAGCAAACGATTTATCGCATACAAATGACAAATAAAAATAAGCTAAATAAAAATGCAAAAAATCAATATAGCAGCCTCAAGAAAAACAAAAGCTCAATATCCTTTGTCCGTTCTGATTCTACGGCTATAAGACAACATTGATTTCCCGAAATGGTCACTCGGTAAAGGTTTTAGCGACTAAACCTGCAGCTCTTTAAGGATTAGGGTCAGAGTTCGCGCATGTCAGTCGTTGACTCCAGATGTGTTCTTTTCGGAAAAGTACGTACACGTTTTAAAAACAGACTACAGTTACGTATGAAGCGCGGTTGTGGTTACTTTAATTTTTCCAGTTCCCTCTTCCTAACTCTAAAGTAAAAAATCGATTTATTAAAATTTGCAAAAAAAAGTACAGCTGGTAGGCAACCGAAATATGTTTTAGCCTCTGAACACCGTTGCCATTTAGGTTTTCCAAGAAAGTAATTGTTAAGGATAGATGGAGGAGACTAGACGCATCAATATATCAGTAAAATGTATTTACCTAAAATGTTTCGGAGATTTTTCAGTATAATTAACAAAGAACATGTAATATTTTCAAAATTATTCTAGGTGGTTACCTACTTTTGATTATTACACCCACTATAGACACTAGTCACCAAAATTAAGGGATAAGAAAGGAATTCTATATGTTTAGGTGATTTTCGAAAAGCTGTAACTTGACGACAAATGATCTTAGAGCAATAAAAAAGCACCTTTAAGAAAACATAAGAAAGTCAGCTTCTCTTTCAAAAGGTCCACGGGCTTCAATAATTATTTAAATGGCAAATCAACTTGTTATCCCTTTTAGTTCGATTAATCAATCATATTAAACTTGATCTGTTCAAGAGCCTTGTACGATGATTTGTCGCTGATCTATCGCAATCTATAGCAAGGAATTTGATTCAAAAAAAGGTAAAAAAATTGGATATTTAAGGATAAGGATAAACTTGATATAACTATAAATAATGAAGTCTAAAGAATATTTTCGTTTTTTTTTACCTAAAAGTATCCGAAAGAATGCGTCGAGAGTTCAAACCCCTGCGTTTTTTCTTTCTTTCTGATCCGAATGACTAAAATTGTAACTTTAGTTAAAAATCTAATAAAGGATAAATTTTACATCTTCTAATCATTTATCTAAATTGAAAATGTTTTTTGCAAAGATCCATATTTTTTTCATGAATGTTAAAGAACGAGAAAATGAAAACAATGTCTTTTTCACAGAATACAGAAGATTTTTGGGTTAGTTTGAAAAAATATGTTTTTTTTTTATAATTAAAGTTCATGGAAACGATTTTTGTGATAGAGAACTCAGTATTCGAGATTTGTAGAAGAAAATAATAGAGACTGATTGGGGCGTATACAATTTTATGCAATTAATTTTTAGTGATTTTTGAAAATAAGGTGAAAGCAGCAGTAAAAAGGTTACGATTGTGAATACTGTAAAAAAAAAAAAGTTTCTTTTTATATTTTAATTTAATTTTCTTTAATTTTTTCATTTTTTTTTGATATTTTACATTTTTTGATAAAAAAATATGGATTTTTACAACAAAACATTTTCATTAAAAAAAATTAATAAAAGATGCAAAATTTATCCTTTCATTCAATTTCATTCATTCAGATCACAATGAAAGAAAAATCGCAGAGGCTTGAACTCTCGAGGGTTTTTTGGAATACTTTGAGGTTTAAAAAAACGAAAATATCCTTAGTCTATTCATTATTTGTACAGTTATCTCAAGTTTAGCGAAAATCTTCAAACACGCAATTTACCTTTTTTGAATAAAGTTCCTGTTAAGTATAGAAAAACATTTTTATCAAAAAAACAACAAGAACGTATTATAGAGGATATTTTAAAGTTTTCAAAACTTTGCTTAAGAGTTTCTGTACGATCATATACGATCCCAAGTAATTAATTCAAAGACAAAAAGATCATTTTTGATTTGAACGACGATAACTCATCGAAAAATTATCATGAAGAGGACTTGAATAGCTTAAATTATAGAGCATGGATCAAACTAAAAGATCTAACAGGTGGGATAGTCAAAACAAATCAAAACAAAATTATTGAAGATCGCAAACCTTTTGAAAGAGAATAAAAAATTTAGATTTTTTTTCACTGGATTTTTTTTATGATTTCTTAGAGGTGGTCAACAATAAAAACTTTTGATTTTCAAATCAAGAAACTAGACACTTCAGGCTTCGATTTACTAGTTTTTATTGCTCTACGATCATTTTTCGCCAAGTTTGAAGATCACCCAAAAATTTATGATTTTTTTATTATTTAATTTTCCTGACTAGTTCAGTTTTTAGTATTTACGATAATCAGACATTAGGAATAATTAGTATGCACAAAATTGTTACATGTACTGATTAGTAATTTTTTTTTCAATTCCAGTAATTTTTCGTGTGTACTGCGCTGATCACACTTATTGCACTCTCAGACTTCCTGTCGACACACCAGCAGAAACGATAAAACTTGTAGCAGCAGATAAATTAAAGATGAGGACCAACGACGAATTGCTTTTGGTGGAAGTAAAGTCGAACGGCGAACGAGTGACGTTCAAAGACAACGATATTAGCATACCGACAGCGCTTTCGCTTAATGGAAGAATATTTGTTTCGCCAAAGGACCATCTAGATGCATTGGTTTGTATGAGAATTCTGCCTTTTACTAAATTCGTATATTCGATTTAAAAACAAATTTAAAGGTAATGCCAGAGGTAGAAGTAATATTGAAAGTAATTTATATTTTATATATGTAGAAACGTCAAAGAAAACTGCTAAACAACGTACATTTTTATATTATAAAGGGTGTACCAAAATTCACGCAATTAATTTCGATAGAAAATATTATGTATAGATGAGTAAAAATTGTAAAATAAATTTTTTATTGATTCATAAAGTATACAGTATAGGGTTATGTGTGGAGTAGCATATCGGATAAATGGCCTCCACGGCTTTGCTGGCAGATATACACTCTTTTGTCGAAACTTTCCATTACTGTTTTGCATCAATGGGACTTCAAGGCGTGGATGTTCGCTGGCTTGTTATCATAAACGTTAGACTTCAAAAAATAGGAAGGAAAAAAGTCCAACGGCGTTAAATCGCTTTATCTGGGAGGCCAATTCTAATCACCAAAACGGGAAATGCCACGACCAGGAAATGACTCATGCAGTAATTTAATTGTTTTGTGGGCTATATGGCACCGTCTTGTTGAACCGCATGTCGTCTATATTCATGTGTTGTAATTTAGTCACAAAAAACTGGATATCTTCCTGGCCAGCTGCATTTCCGAAGACGACTGATCCGATGATGTATCAAGTCCAAAATCCGCACCAAATAGTGACACGTTGTGGATGCATTTGTTTTTCAACAATCACTCGTGGATTTTCTGAACCCTCAATGCGAGGATTTTGTCGATTAATGATGGCATCAAGATGAAAATGAGCCTCATCGCTAAAGATGTTCGAAAAATCAGCATCCACTTATTATCGTTCCATGATCCATTCAACGAACTCTCTTCGCTCTGCGTGGTCTGTAGGTTTCAGTTCTTGAGCCAGTTGCAATTTGTAAGCATGAAGATGCAAATCTTTTGTGAGAATACGTTGCATAGAGCTTCTCGAAATGTCAAATTCTTGTCCACTGTGACTCTCAGCAACACTCTCACGAACTGCGTCAATGGTTTGTGTTGAACGACTTGTTAAAGCACGGCCATAGTGTTTAACATCACTAATTGATCCAATTTACCTGCATTTTTTAATTAATCTTCACAGTTGACGAAGCTAAAACGCTATTCCGACTATATTTGTACGAAAATTGCGAACTGTCGCTACCAAACCTTCATTATTTTTAAAATATTGTTCAACAATGAAAACGCGTTGTTCTTTCATGTAGCGCTCCATTTTTAATAACCCTCAACTATCAGTTGTCACGCTGGCAACACTTTACCGCGCAAATGGCGAAAAATTCAAATCTTGCGTGAATTTTGGGACACCCGATATTTATGTGGCATGGATGAAAATATGAAAATAATGTTTAAGCTCAGGTTATTATTTGTAAAAAAAAATAATAGGCAGTAGGTACAGTAACTTATTCTCAACACGTAAATCTGTGCGATGAGTAAGACGTTTAGGAATGCGATCCCATGGGTTATCAGTTTGGAGGATTCAAAAATTTGTTAAACATAGATCAACATGAAATAGATATATCGATTTTGGTAAAAACTAAATTATGCTTATAAATTTACACTCATTTTGGTTTATCCAAATATCCAACAAAAAGAACGATTTCACTTATCAAAACATGTTTACTTGTGGTAGCTAAATGTACTACTGCGTATTGTAATGCGTTTAGTTGTGACCATAATATAAGTTCCAACCAAATTAACTGCATACGAACTTTCTGGAAGTGAATCTTAAAATTTAATAAAACACTTTACCTATCTCAAATGATATAGTCATCTATCAGAAGTGTACATGGTAGAATCAATATTTTACTTGTGTATAAGATTCAAGACACCTACAACAGTTAAAAAAATATTTCTTCCTTTTTATTTTAGGACGTAACCGGCGCTTATTGGACAAGTGGCACCTACAAAAAGTCTATTTACTTACGTAGTGTTGCAACAGTATAGCGACGCAAAAATGGTATATGATATGATAAGTGGTTCTATTGTAACTTCAACTCTTGTATTGAACGTTGGTTGTTATTCTTTTTTACGTGCATAATGCACTTGTCCATGTTTCCACAGTTATTCGATTAGTTGCCTTCTGCAGAAGTACTTTTACACCTCTTAATTTAAAAGTTATGTCTTCTACATGAAATTTTACATTGACCCAGATTAGTTCAAAGGAGTTTAGCTCACAATCATATGAAGACAATCGAAGAAATGATTACCGCAGGCTTTAACCATTTTATCCATTCGATAATTTATGTAGGTCTTATCTCTTTTTGTGCAATTACCAGTAATTGTACTTTGAACATCATATCTTTATATTTAATATGTTTTCCATTCAACCATTCTATGATTTCTCCTTTTCTTCAGCAGACGTTAACAATTTTTCAATTTGTCGCCTGTATTATTCATGACAATCACTGGGCCAAGTTCGATATGAGGTAAAGAGATGCAAACCATTTTTTAAATAGCCTGCTATCCAAATCTTCATGGAAATCACCAATTCGTTGCAACTCGAACGCATCTAAGCTATTATCTAGAAATTCGCATTCACTTCTGATATGTGTAATCATTAATCACCGTCCTATCCCAGAGGGCGCCCCCAATTCCCTAGAAAATCTTTTTAAAAATGCTTCTAATCTACTGTTAATATTTAAATATTATTTTTGTCTAAATAATTTTTTGTCATACTTTGTTCTTTTCTATTAGCATATCTTTTTAACATCTTATTATGTATGGACAATTAATTTCATGTTTGTGCAATTGCAGTTTGAATTTCCTTTATAGTTGCTGAGTAAGTTTACAGACACTTCAATTTTTAGCGACTCATCGCTCACGCTAAGTGACACCTTAAAATAAAATATCGATTGGAAAAAATCGATATGGCTCCAACTTTTCGAAAAAATGTAATATTTACTACCTAAATACCTCTAAAAGAAGTTTCCACGTCATCGCTCAAAAAATATGTCCGCGTTTCGGTCGTTCAGGACTACCTCGATTATCAGATTGTCTAATTTTCGTACACGATTCCATTTTTAACGACACGAATTGGAATAACTAAAACGTTAATAACATGTCATAATAACACGTCTTTCCCACGTCTTATGACACGCACTGACGCACATTAGCTCAGTCTCAACCATCTCTTTTTTATACATGTTGAGCAAAGACAAAAAATAGGGGACAAATAAGCTGAACGAGTTATCGGAACACATTAGCTTTGTTCCTAAGACAATCCAAAACAATTTCCAACAGCCAGACGCAAGTGCATTCCGATATAACATGAAGTTCAAATTTCATTGCTTCACTGTTTCTGATGTACTAGAAATGAAGCTATAATCTCACTATGAGGAAGGATATTTTACGTAGACTTTAAAAATTCAACAATTTAGAGGATATTCCATTAAAAATGCATACGTGTATATTTGGTTTATAATCATTAATCGGAACCGCGTTGTTTACGTCAATTGCAAGGTACGTCCCAAGTTTTGCAGGTGATTTGTGAACTGCAGTAACACAACTAGCTACAAATGAATAGGAGTCTTTGTGCATATTTTGACACTTCCTAAGTACTACTGTCAGTCTGCAAATGTTTGTAACAATTGCGGGATAATAGAGACAAACAACTTGTTTTTTTTTTCTCTTTATTGGGTATTTTGTCATCTGCGAAAAAAAATATTAAATATGCCATTGTACAAACGTAAGGGTTACTTTTATTAAACTATTTACTATTTTTGCCTAACCAAAAATATCTCATTGAGGAAAACAGACAAACAAACAATAAATACATATCGCGTTTGAATTATTGTTAACGTTTCGAAAAATCAGAAATAGTTCTATAAAAATAACCCTTGGCAGATCCCTTTAGCACAAGGGCTTATATAAATGATTATTTATTTATTTACTTTCGCAAGACGCAAAATACCCAATAAATAGAGAAAAACTAAAGCTATACTACAAGTAAATAACTTCAAACAATATCGTATTCATTTTTAAGCTCAATATACAAATTGCTACTTGACAGAAAAAATGCTAGAACACTTTGAGTCACACAGAAATGTTGGAGTAATCGTACACTTTTGTTTATTACTTAAACGACCAACCCTCATTGTTTTGACGGACAGGTAAACGAGAGCGTTTTTATAAACGGCTCTTAAGTGTTTTCGCTTACTTAAGGATTTTCTGCACAATTTGACAACATCGTCTCTTATAAGATCAGAACTAACCTATCTATCTACTTTAATTTTTGTTGTTCCCTTATCATTGGTTATAACCGAAAAAATTAAATAAAGAACCTTGTATAAAATTATTTTTTTTACTAATATGTACATACAATGGAAAACCACTTTGCATCTCTTAACGAATGAATATATCGACATGCAGTTAACATTTTTAAATTTTTCTAGAAAATGTTTACTTAATATACAGGGTGATCCATTAACGGTATCGAGCGGCTGTATATATGAAACTAGACGTGCTACAATTATGGGGTAAAAAATCTATTAACAAATACGACCAAAAGAAATTAATTTAAAATATTTTCAAGTTTGTAACTCGCAACTGCTATAGTGTTACAGAAAATTGTCGGTTTTTCGAAATTTCGCTTATATAACCTAAGTTGCAAATACATTTTTTAGATACACTGTTACACCCTTCACAAGTTTTGTTTGAACTTTTTTTTTGTTATTACCATAGCAACATCAGTATGAAAAACGCTATCTTGAAATTTTTAAATTGTCATAACTTCTAAATGCCTTAATCGATTTCAATAAACAATGGCTCATTTTAAAGAACTATTAATAAAATTTATTTTTATGATATACGAATGAAAATATTATTTTCCTGCGCAACAGTAGACGACGCTAATGAGAAAAGTTTTGTAATTGTCTCCGTTTATAGACATTTCGAAAAACCGACAATTTTCTGTAACACTATAGCAGTTGCGCCCCCTAGCGGTGAAGTTACAAACATGAAAATATTTTATATCTATTTCTTTTGGTCGTATTCTAAATATTAAGTATACAAACAATAAGATTAAGAAATTAACCATTTTTATTATTTGTAGACGTGTTTAAGTGAGCAAGAAGAACCTACCCAAGGAATAGATGCCGATATAGAAATGTTCAGCACAAAAGAGTTGGCGTATTATATGACTCTATTCGACTGGGATCTTTTTTGGTAAGACCTTTGACTTTTTAATATTAAAGGAAGACATATCCTATATAGATTTTATCATAATAAAAACATTGTCTCCATAAAGTTTCAGTCATCCAACTTAAAACATATTTTTTGATGGAGACAAAATATGTTAGTAGGTACTAACAGTGTAATCAATAAAGTACACACCGTACGTAACTTTTAATTAACTGATATTCGGAAAATTTGATTTTATCAAACGTTATTGCTTAATGTCAAACGACGTGCATGAAAAAGTTACCATGAATTTAGAGAGAGAGTTGAAAGCAACCGCAGCAATTTTAATTATATTAAATACGTATATGCGAAATGATTATCATTTATTTGATTGAATCAAGTGTAATTTAATAAGTCATTCTTGCATTTCAGTTTTATGGTGTTTTTCTTCCATTACTTTCTTCATTGCGCCTCCCTCATATTTTTCTTGACTTTCTTCCCCACTCTTTGCATTATCTCATTACTGCAGTGGCGTACGCAACTAAGAGTTTTGGAAATCGGAGCCTACATGAAATTTAATTCCGATTTGGTTGTTCATCTGCTACTCATTTTATTTTGTATTATCTCATTCATTAATGGAATTTAAAAAGTTAGTATACAGCATACATCATTTTTACTATTCCATTTATATCGTTTTTGATTTTTGTGATTGTTGCTTTGTTATCTAGCATATCTGCTTAATAAGTACCAACTACAAACTTTACTGGTTGATCCAATCTAAAATCTTCTAATTCAATCTTTGTTTAACGCCTAACATCAGGTATCGTTTTTATATACATTAGTCAAGAAACAATAAATTTCTCTAAAAATCAAAATAAGATTAGCCAAAAATATGTTTATAAACTTTGACCTTTACTAATCTTGTGATTGAAAATTGATGGCTGATACTCTTCTCTTGATCTTGATATGGATATTCTTCTTTTGATCTTGACACTGCCATCTGCTTTCAATATTATCACTTCAATTAGCCCACGATGTAACAATAAACGTATTGTGCCTTGCTAACATCGACAACCTCTATTTTTGTACTTTTCATTTAAGTTCCCAAAGTGTATATACAAATGACTATTACCGGCTGATGTACCATGACGTACAAACTGAAAATTTTTTTCTCACCCATTTGATCTTTGATGTCAAATAATATGAATTCGTATTTAAATGATCTACAGAGTTAAATTTGTTAACTTACAATCGCCACTTGTCAAGTAAATAGGATTCCGAGTTGATTTTATATACATATGTCCACGATTAGAGTAAATAAAAGAAAGCAACTTTTTTATTTTGCATTTTGCGGAAAAAAACACAGTTATTTACCAATCATAGTAGTAATGAAATACCTAATATAGTAACTTAGTGAATTTTAAAATTCAATAAAACACTACGAATGCATGTGCAGAAAGCTTATTTTACTTCTGGGTAATATTACCTGCAACAGTTAAAAAAATATTTACGGTAAATCATTATTTTTAGTAACATGATTTAATGCAATGAAATTATCACAATACTGAAATTTATCAAATCTGTGAGATTATTTAATAAAATATAAATAAATTACGTATTTAAGAATAATCATAGAAGTTGTAGCCTCAAAAAGAGAAAAAAAAGTAACTTATATAGCAGGGGTAGAAAAAGCCACTCTTAGGCTTAGGACTTGTTTCATATGTAACTTGTCTTATTACTACCTTACTATTTAATAATTCATTTCAAATAGCCAGATTCATTCTTAACTAAAAAGGTCTCCTGTAATATTTTCGTAAAATTAACGATTTATCAGCAAAAAATTTATATTACGTTGACATTTTGTAATGGCTCTTAATTGTTGTTAGTTACAGTTACAGTTATTGTTATTGTGGTTATTTTCAACATTTAATATAAATTCTATTAATTTTCAATAATTTTATAATAGTTTATTTTCTTACATATTTCTTCCTTATGCCAATCATGCCAATAATTTTTTGCTCAGAAATCGTTAATTTTACGAAAAAATTACGAGACGTTTTTGTTTGTTTTGTTTAGAAGCAATCAGACTATCTGAAATGAATTTTTAAATGGTAAGGTAATAATAAGGAGAAAAGTTAGGTATGAAACAAAGCTTAGGGGTGGTTTTTTCTACCCCTTACGTAGGGGAAAAGAGCCTTCTCGATAGCAGAAAATGCCTACTTATTTCATTTCTATAACGCTTTTGGTATTTCAGAAAAAAAATTAAAAACTATTTTTTGGTACCTTCATTAAGCGATTGTATCTTTACAGGGATGTTCAATTGAAAATTTTTTTTATGAAAGACCTATGATCTAAATTCGTACACAGACATATGTCTATAAAAATAAAATTATAAATAAGTTTTATTTTCAGGTGTGTTCATGAATATGAACTTCTTTATCACACATTTGGCAGACACCATTTTGGACAAATCACCGCGAACTTGGATGTATTCCTGCGTAGGTTTAACGAAATACAATTTTGGGTAGTCACCGAAATATGCATGACTAGTAGTCTGAGCAAACGCGTAGCAGTGCTTAGGAAGTTCATCAAATTAGCTGCATAGTAAGTACCAATTGCCACTTCTTCGTAGGCGCCAATATTGATGTGGGTTCTCAATGTTCAAGTACCACAAATAAATTAAGATACAATGAACAAAAGTTACGCATTAATCTTTTTTGTTTATGTGTATCATGAAAACAGCAAAAAATGTCAGAAAACGTAGAAAATATATTTTACTTTAATATAACGTAATTAAATCTGCCATTCTTACCAATACTGGTAGCATCACCATCCATTTGTTAAATTGTAATTTCCAGTTTTTTTCAGAAGAACAGAAAAACAGATTTAGTTATGTTTAAAATTCATAAGTAATTAAATTTGTTGAGGTATTAAGAGAAATTAAATAGAAACCTAAAAAACATAATTATGCAAATGTTTTTCAATATTGGACGTTTATTCCAATATTTTTTTGTCCCTAGTAAACTTCAATTAGAATATGGAATAATGTTTGATTAACTAAAATATAAAGTACCTACGTCAACATATAAAATAATGTATATTGTATACGAATAAACTTTCTCCTTATTATTATTTTCAGCTGTAAAGAATATCAAAATCTAAATGCGTTCTGTGCCATAGTAATGGGTTTAAGTAACGTTGCCGTTTCAAGATTATCTAACACGTGGGAAAAGTTGCCATCAAAATTTAGAAAGTTGTACACTGAATTTGAATCTCTGATAGATCCAAGTCGCAATCATAGAGCTTACAGGGTCAGTGTAGGAAAACTTCAGCCTCCGGTAGTACCTTTCATGCCATTGTTGCTGAAGGATATGACTTTTACACACGAAGGGAACAAAACTTGTTTGGACGGTCTTGTAAATTTTGAAAAGATGCATATGCTTGCCCAAACAATGAGGACCATTAGATTCTGTAGGAGTAGACATTTAGGTAAGTCTAGCAAGTACTTTTATAGTTAATTTCAATGTCTGTATACGCCATTGATTGTACAGGATGGTCATTTTCTAAAGGCTAAATTAGCATTGTCGTGCAGATTTTGCGAGAAGTACATACTTTACCAATTAAATAAATATCATTTAAATACATGTGATCCTTTTGAAATATTAAGAGCAAGTATTTAGATAATGACGGAGATACTAAATGTTAAACTAGATAAATGGACCTATACTCTGCGGTCGAAATTATAGAGAGTGACTCAGACATAATATAAAAACACTATTACCATAATGCGTATAAAATATAAAATGATTTTTGTACGGTTCAATATTATTTATCTTTGTGCCGCTCGCTACGCACATCGATATAATCTATAATCGTCTATAGACTGAGTTACATTGAACGTCGATCTATATTATATCTCTGTCTTTTGCACTTGGTAGGTAATAGGAGAATGCTTTTTTAGTGGGTGTAAACGGACTTGATTTATCCGTCCTGGAAACGTCATAGCATAAGCGTAGACGAGGAGTCTAATTCCATGGCTATAATAAATTTATAAATTAAAAAAACACAACTGGGACGTTTTAAAATGCTGTAATAATTAAAATGGATCAAAGTGCCGGTTAGAGCAAACCGTAAAAAAATATTAGATGTTATGCTTTATTATCTTTTTTCAATATTTTCTATATTTTGTTGCCTTTTACGCAGACACGCCAATGGATTTTCGTTCCCGGCACGCTTCATCCCCCTTACTAGTCCAAAAGCTAGCGACGAGTCACTCTCTATAATTTCGACCGCGGGGTATAGGTCAGAAATTATTTCCTAGCCTACATAAAATTCTTAATATGCTTTTGTATAAAATATAAAAAGAGACACAAGCTTGTAGCACCATTATTTACTTTCTTTTTTTGCTCTCGTGTATTGTTAAAACATTTATCAACTCCAATGCCAATCTATATAAAAACTTTGAACATAAAAATTTAAATATCGTCGTTTTTGTAACATATGAAATATTGATCGTACTTGAATTCAGCCATGGGAGAAGCTTTCCCATGAGAACATTTTCCAGTGATGTCAAGAACTGAGGTAATAAAACACGTGAAATATCTGTACAGGTCCGCACTGAGTTGTATTTCAAAGATATATTTTTATTTGGCTAGATACCGAGAGGACGTTTTTGAAATGACACAGGATATTATACTTATAAAAACTAAATTTATTTTAAAGATAAAAATTATAACACAATAAATTTAAAATGTTTATTCCTTTTTTATGCGTTAACTTTTTAATAGAGTTTATTAAAAATATTAATTAATAACACAGGACGACAAAATTCTACGAAAGTCCAGAACCAGAGACCGAATCTAGTGTACCCGAAGGATTTTGGTGCGCTGATTATGAATCCGGACTCAGAATTGGCCTATCACCCTAGGTTCTCGAGATATTCTAACCTAAAAGTGCAAAAATCGCGGTTTTTCGCCAGATTACAACGTGAATTAATAAAATGGTGGTAACAAGAGACTGATTAGTATATATTTTTTAAGCGTTCTCAAATATCTCTCGTTAAGTGTAAAAGTATTTGCTTACAATGTATTGCATCATTTTTTTTAACAAAGAGAAGCTTTCGTAATTTTTTTTTGTTCTAATGGTAGGTACGTTGTTAAAAATAGTTGAACGTAAAACATAAGGGCTTTTCCTAGAAAGTGAAAGATTATAATTATTTATGGAAATATGATTAGCTGTGCGTATATTATATGTATATTTACTAGCGGTTGACGTGAATTTATTTCCGTATTTTTTTTAACAAAACACACTACCTCGTACATGAGAATTGAGGTTAAGCTTAATAAATTGTTTTGTTTAAAAGCTGATGGGCAAGAATCTAGTGGCATAAGATAGAATATTAGTCTTATGATTTTTTTTCTGTAAAATAAAGACTCTTTCTTTGTCTCTACTAACACCCAAAAAATTAATTAAATACCTTTGGTGGCAATAAGCAAGACCATAGTACACGTTTATTAAGTCTTATTTGGATAGTACTGGCTTTAGATTTCGTAACGCGAAAAATGCGGTGTTTAACTTGCTACAAATTAAATCTATATATGATTAGATCAATTAAGATTTTCCTCTAACCATAAGCCCAGAAATTTTATTACAGAGAATTGAGGACCAATGTTTTTGTGACTAAGATTTAATGAATGTTGGTCGCGTTGTTAAAAAAATTGTATGTACGTTGATTTTTTAGGATTTAATATCAACTTATCATTTTTATACCACAAACAGAATTTATCAATCAACTTGCGTACCATTTCATTAAATTCTTCAGAGGATTCAGGTGCATATAAAATTAATTTCAATGTTTTTAATCATCAGATGGTGCTCTAGATCATTTAGAAAAATAATAAATAGTAGAAAGAGGAGACAGTACTGCCCCTTGAGGCAGCCTAGTATTGACATTTGATATCTTAAACTTTACTACTCCATACAGGCCAATAATTTTAATAATCAAAACTCTTCTTTATTCCTATGAACTATGAAATTGACTGGTTATGTAAGAATCTCATATATTATTCCATGAGAGATATTTCACTTGTAAATTATTTTCCAAACCGAGATTATTCCAAATTCTGTCCCTCCACGTAGGCAATAAATAAAGCGCCAAGTACACAGTTAATGGAAATCGGCAACCGTCAAATTTTCTGTAAATGAAATATGTTATAATTTGAGATGACCTGATCAAAAGTTGTCACAGGCTCAAGACCCAAAAATGAATACTTATCGAGATAAGCGACATTGAAAGCGAGCGAGTTCCATCACCCTTATGGCTTATGGCTCTTCTCTCTCTTCTCTTTCTCTCTGAGAGAAACAAGACAAGTTCGCTGATCATAAAGTCCCTTAATTAAAATCTTATGAGCTTTGGAAAACAATTTTTTATAACTGATGTAAGTTAGCATAATTATTATTTGTTATATTATAATCTCATGATAATTTTATTTTATGGTGGGGCAGCGACTGAACTCAAGTCGGCGCAGATGGTCATTATGAATGGATTTTACTTGGTACTTCTTTGTGTGTTTGCAACCATAAAGAATTGAATTCCTTTAACGTATAACATTTTCTTTAACATAACTCCAATAATTAACTACTCGTAGATACACTTACAACGTACATACCTGATGAATACAATTAATCTTATGTAGGAAAACCTGTAATTATTGGGATAAAAAATTAACCAAATTCCCATTTGCCTAATCAATTTGTTGTATCTTTACGATAATTCTGTCATGTTTTAGGATATTTCAGTAGTACAGGGTGTCCGGAAATTACGTGTACAACGGAAGTTCACAGACTCCTTGACTCAAAATAAGTAGATTAAGCCCAATTCGTATTTCCAAGGACGCCAAAATCCGATTGTTTATTCTGAATATGTCGAAAACGACTTACTTTATAGATTTTGACCAGTTTTGGGTTACAAAGTCTTTAATTGACGATAATTAATTACGTAATAGCATTATAAACTAGTTTGCAATCAAACAGTATAAGTTAACAGTTTTAATAAGTCAAAGAAACACAAGAAATAATATAGAAGTACTTCAAGGGAAAAGTTTTAAATGCCAGTTATACAACAACCTAGTTGCAGTGTCTTTCTAGTCATCATCGGAGTTGGATTTATATAATCTACTTAGATGTTATTTCTTTTTATAGCAAATTAATCAGTAACTTTTTATTTTTATGTGTCTCAATGTCGTGCTCGATACCCATCTTGATACATAGGTACCCTCAAAAATGCGACATACCTCTTCTTACCTAGAGGAAAAATATAATTTTGCTCCCAAATATTTGTATACTTATTGATTATTACAAAATAAAAAAATATTTTCTTTCAGTTTTGGAACCACCGTCTCCAAAAGGTGAAAGTGAAGTAAAATCATACATTTCCTGTTTGCGAGTGATAGACAATCAACGAGTGCTAACAAGCCTTTCACAAAAATTGGAACCAAGAAGGTCTTAGTGGCACTATTTACTCTCCGCTAGGGTCATGACCTACGCGGGATGGAGATGTTGGATGATTTGCCCTTGCCCATTCTCATTTCCATTTTACAAATCCCAACCTGCTTATGTATAAAAGTCACATTTTATGTGTGACTTTCATTAAAAAAAAAGATATTTGGTATACGTATAACATTTTATTATCATCAAAGTGTGTCGTAATGTAGCTAACATTTAAATTTAATCTTTAGACTTTAGTTTTATTAAGAAATGAATATCCATCTAACATTATTTTAGGTAGTACATAAAAGATCTGAATGTAGCTTTATTATTTTTATTTATTTGTATTGTCATAGACATAACAGGAATTGGTAACATTTTTTGTTAAGTTTTTAAACCTCACAATAATATGAATCATAAAATAATACTTACATCAAACGGTTTTAAATATGGCAAATAATACGGCTGCATTACGGATCCAAAGACACGACCAAATTCTATGAAATAGAAACTTGTAAGGGATTTGTAGTCCAAAACATTAACTAGAAAATATATTTTGAATAATTAAATTAAAAAATGATTACACTTGAAAGTTCTATTGGGATTACTATTTTTAATATCCTTTCTTAACAATATGTTTAATAACAAAATTAAACTTTCTATTTAAAAAATTCTTAATCTCTCTTTATCCATAAAATAATATTTAACGTCCTTCTACATACAGTGTTGTCTATAAAGAGCGCATCATGAAGAAAAACATTTTATTAATTAGTTTCCGAAAAATTTAAATCATTTTTGCTAAAACAATAAAATTAAGTGGTATGTGCAAAAGCCGTTATGTGTTTTTCTATATCTGTTGAATATAACGTAGCTTATACATAATGTAGCAGTACAACGTTTCAAATTACATTATTATTACTTATTCAATTATACTGGTACACCGATTTTCAGCGACAAGTAGTTTTTTAATTTGTACATCTTTTTATGAAAAATATTGGTTTAAATGTATATAAGTTGTAACTATCAACTAAAAATAGTATATGATGATACATTAAATTTTGAACACTGTGTTTTTAAAAAGTATAACAAACAAAATTTTAAATGAAATATCCTGTATATTATTTCATATTTGAATATGTTTTTCATGATTTCAGTGATATAGGTTTAACCTTTAACTTTAAGAAAATATTACAGATAGAATATGTCATAAGTAGAGATCGGAAATGTTATGACGACTGCAATGTGGTACAGGGTTGGCTGTAGGTCGGGTTCTCGTTTATATAATTTTATTCACACAAAAAGTGACAACCGCATGAAAAAAAAAGTATAATTTTTCTTAGAATTTATATTATTTGTAAATATATATAATTTAATTCAAATATTCATAGTTTTAAAATTTATTATCTCGGACTTTAGCTAAAATATCTCTTACAGTTAACTAAAACTGCAAACATATTTATTTCAAAACTACCAATTCCTTAAAATATATTTAGACATATATTTAAAATTTAGTATTAATGTAGGAATTATTCAAGATAAATGTAGGATATTATAATCAAACTTATGTTTTCATGAAAGAAAATTGTAGGTCACAGAATAGGTAGATGGGAAGTAGCAAGATAGATGAAGCCAGCACTTACGCTCTGTGTATACACATCTCCTTGTGAGTAATGACAGCTGGATAGTTTTTGCAATATAATGATGAACACAATCAAGTCCTAAACCGACCTATGTCTGGTTAGTTAAATTTACGAACGATCCTAGGTGTGAGTTTGAAACAAAATATTTTTTATTACTGAGAAACAGTTATTCCCAAATATATTCTTAAAATAAGTACATATACAATCCTTTGACCAAAACTATTCAATTTTGTATTAAACAAACCATACATTAATATACAATACAAAACATATTTCTATAAAATCTATGTAGATCATAAAATTAAGAATAGAATTCGTTTAACCGTAAGTATCAGATATTTATTTTAAATGCTACCTTTTTTAAAGTAAGAAATTATATTTCTGGGTAGAAATTTGAAGTATTTAAATAAATAAATAATTTTCTTGAAAGAAGAAAATATTTTCTTGAGTATATATAAATGTGCGATATCTTAAAATCAAATATTGTACATTTGAATCAAGAATTTTGTGTCCTCTTACAACTGCACTCTTTACATTCTAAGAATATACAGGATGGGCCATTAATGTGAGAAAGTAAAATAATTCCCTTGTTACTCATAATACACAAAATAAAGTTTATATAATAGTTGTACAGAATCAAGAAACCTAAACTACAAAATTAATTTGAAACATACAGGGCGATTGGTAAAAACGGGACACGCCAAAGATTAAATATTTTAAATGGAACACCCTATATATTCTTATAAATATGGATTTCCGAAGAAACAGTTTATTTTAGTGCGGGTTGCCAAGTTGTGGAAAATTCTTCGAATTTTGGAAAAAACGTGACCTCGAAGAAGTTGTATTAACTTTCAGCTAAAAAGGGGACACGCCAAAGATTAAATATTTTAAATGCAACACCCTATATATTTTTAAACATATGGATTTCCGAGGAAATTCTATATATGGCAATATAAACAGTTTATTTTAGTGCGGGGTTGCCAAGTTATGTAGAAAATTCTTCAAATTTTGGAAAAAACATGGCCTCGAAGAAGTAGTAACTTTCAGCTACTAACACTGGGAACAAAATAATTAGACAGAGTTATAGGCAAATGTTAGACAAAGGCTCCTATGTTAGCTTATATCTATATTTTATACAGGACATTTTTTATAATACGATCATTTTTAGAAAGTTTAAACTTGATTTTCTAATTTTTTTCAAATGGAACACCCTGTATTTTATTGGTCTATTTTATTCACATATCGATCCACTTCAATATTTATTAAGCATGTTCTATATCTAATATTGTTAATTTTTAAGATATAGCAACATTTCTAAAGAAACTTAATTTTTATTATTTTATAGAATACCACAAATAAATATTAAATAATAAAATTAACTCAAAATGGAATGATAAATTATGAACTGACAAGTTGACACAATGTGACAGTTTTTTCCAAAGCTATTTCGTGCGACAGAAAATAATAAAAATTCGGTTTTTCCAGAAATGCTGCTATATCTTAAAAACTAACAACTTTAGGTGTAGAACAGAATAAAAGTTGAAGTGGATATGTGAATAAAATAGAACATTAAAATACAGGGTGTTCCATTTGAAAAATTTTAGAAAATCAAGTTTGAACTTTCTAAAAATGATCGAATTATAAAAAATGCCTTGTATAAAATATCGATATTAGCTAATATAGGAGTATTTGCCTAACATTTATCTATAACTCTGTCAAATATTTTTGCTCCAAGTGTTAGTAGTTGAAAGTTAATACAACTTCTCCGAGGACATGTTTTTTCCAATATTCGAAGAATTTTCTACATAACTTGGCAACCCCGCACTAAAATGTTAAACTGTTTATATTGTCATATATAGAATTTTTTCAGAAATCTATATGATTAAAAATATACAGGGTGTTCAATTTAAAAAATGTAATATTTGGCGTGTCCCGTTTTTACCAATCGCCCTGTATGTTTCAAATTAATTTTGTAATTTAGGTCAGGTTTTTTGATTCTGTATTCTCTTTTATGTAAACTTTTTTCTGTATTATGAATAACAAGGGAGTTATTTTACTTTCTCACACTAACGGCCCACCCTGTATATGTAAGTATTTACATAATAGTATAAAACAAGAAGGGTCAGCGGCTATTTTTCTACATTAAACTCTTCACATGCAACTTGCCATAAAATGTATAAAGTCCGTACAATATTTGTTTACATAGAATTCCCAGAAAAAAATAAACCAATAAAGTTCTCCCTTGAAATTTTCCGCGTTATTTTCAGAATATTAAAATATAACCACGATACCCTTTGACAGGGAATTAAATTCCTTTCCTTTATTTTTCACCTCCACTGATTTATTTTAATAAGAAGTTACATTGAAAATGCACACTTACGAAGAAACACGCTTTCGTAAATGCAAAACACAGTATGCACTGCAAGCTGTTACGATAAACGCCTCACCGCCAATGTCTTTCTACCTAGGGTGTCGAACACGGTTAATTCCAAGAAAGTGACGCAGGGGTCCTCTTGGAATTGTATCTCAACAAATATCGTACGGACTGTAAATATAGTGCGTAATAATAAGTACCAGCAAAAGTTAACAAAATAATAATTTCTTACTCATAAGGAAAGCGACTGTAGAAAAAAATTAATAATTGTTCTAAGTCTTCTGCGGTTATCATCTCTGGCGATCCGTAGGTAAATACCCATTTCAAAACGAAAATGGCCGTTTAACATTTACCGAGATCACAGGCGCATATCTAAGTTTTTAATAGATGCTATTTTTACTAATGGTGGCGGCACTTCTCATTTTAGTAATCGCACTATTCGCGCCATTGTACAATAACATGTACATGTCTGCCTCGCATCGACCAATTATTTGATACGTATCTCAAGCGGTACCCTGTCGGTCTAGCGTGCCGATGATCCCCGATTTTGCTGAGGTACATTAGCCGTGCATTTCGTTGTCGTTTGTGCGGGTGTGAGTGTGTTTGATTCTTTGTTTGGTCGAGTGTATGGCTCGTGTTTTTTGTGGCAGTACTACAACGCGTATTGCCACTTATTAGTATAATATAGATTACTACTGTTTATTTATTTTAATGCCGTCACAAAGTTTCCGGTGTCTAGTCATAAGTATGAAGTGGCCACATCTTTTTTACATTAGAGGTAGACTCATCAAATTTTATATCACTACGATTCTAAAAAAGCATTATATTCAAATATGAAGTAATATATGTAGCATTAAAAAACAATAAGCAATAAAGTATATCCCCTAAACCGCACTTCTATGGGTGAGATAGCATAGATACCGCTATTTTTTTTTCAACAATAATTTGTACTTACTTTACAAATGATGCGATTTGGAAAAAGTGTATGCTAAACATACTTTACATCAATTTTATTAATTCTTATACAATGACAATACTAAAAATAAATATTTAGCAAAAATAAATGTAAAAAAATATTTTACTAGAAGCTTAAAATTGGTATATTAGTACAGAATTAAAAAATAGACTACTTTTTATTGTTTTATTTGACATTTTCTAAGTAAAAATTATTCACAAAGTCAAATTTATTAAAAAACGATTAAAAAAATTCCTATATGATGAACTTTTTTGGTCACACTGTATAATGATCATTATTTCTAAAACAATACTTTACTGCAAGCTTTAACTACATATATGATAGTTTTAGATATATAATGAATTTATAAATGTACCCTACACTAGTATAAAATCAATTTTACACCACTTTAAATGCGGTTATTTTATCTATTTTAATAGTTTATATAGGCACGTAATTATGCGGGAGGGTCTGTAAACCATACATAGCCCATAAGAAAATTTGGTGGCCGAAAGAAAATAATTAATTAAAAATGAAATACTAAAAAAAACTCGTAACATGATTTAGTAGTCCAACTGTAGGTATATAGGGTGTCCCGATACTTGATACAAAAAACGAGTACAAATA